CCCCCACCCCTGCCGCCCATCCGCTCGCCATTCCGCAGGAATGGCACGAGCTCCAGCGGCTGCAGCACTACAGCACGTACTGCCGCCTGGCCATGCACCTGGCCGGCCGCCCCCACAAGTGGCGCGCCGCTGACCTGGCGGGCGGCCGGAAGGCAGGCGGCCGCAAGGCGCGGCCGAGGCGGAGGCGCGAGCCGGTCGCGCCGCCCGTCACGCCGGGGGACCCGCCGCAGGTCGCTGCAGCCGCGGCCGCGGCAGCGGAGACGGCGGCGGCGGCGGCGCGGCGGCGATGGATACGTTGATGGGCCGGGCCGCAGCCGCTTGTGGTGGCCTCGGCGTGGGCTGCGTGCTGCTGCTGAGCTGTGTGGTGCGCCCGCTTCTGGCTGGGGTTTGCGGCTGTCGCGACGCGGTGCTTTTCGGCGGGCCTCTGCGCTTTCTTTGCATTGACCGGCTGCACACTCACGCTTTCATATGTCTGGCACTTGCGACCCTCGCCTCAAGTACAGTATTGTCGGTTCAAGGCAGGACGGCGATTCAAGTATTGATTGATCCTGCCTGTGAGTAGCAACTCAGCAACATGCCCGTGTCGCACTTACATCGACCAAGACGTGTGTTTGATTGTTGACCACAGCTGAGTCACAGTCAAGAGCCAGGCCCAAAGGGCGTGGGGCCAGGATGGGGGCGCCTTTGAGTGCGGAGAGAGAGAGAGAGAGCTCTGGGGCTGCGCCCTGTGCGGAGGGAAGCCGGCGTGAAGCTGAGGCGCTGCCAGCTGGCCGAGGGAAACAAAGAAGCGGCTCCAGACGGCCGAGCCACAGCCGAGCAGGCCATGGGCGACTGCGCCTCGCGGCGGCCCAAGCAGGGGATTCAAGTGTTCAGCAAGTGATTTCATTTCATGTATCAAGGCAAGCCGACAGGGCCGCCTCAGCTGCTGCCGCCCGCGCCGCTCACAGCAGCCCCCGCGCCGCCGCCGCCGCCGCTGCCGCCGGCAGCAGGCGCTCTCGTCAAATCGAAGAACCGCAGCAGCACCCGGCTATCTGCCGCCTCCGCCGCCGCGGGCGCCCCCGCGCCCTCCTCCCACTCCGCGCCGCCGCCGCCGCCATCTGCGCTGCCGCTCGGCCCGCCGCTGTTGCCGCCGCCCGCCGCCGCCTGGCCCTGCTGCTGCCGCCAGGCCGAGTAGGCGATCACGCGGTCCTCCACGGTGTCCTGCAAGCCGGGAAAATGTGCGATTGGGCGGCTGCTTATCGGCGGTTTCGACGAATTTGATGACTGCATGATCAAGGTTTTGCAAACGCCCTTCCTGCCCTCACCCCCAAAAAGGCTTTAGGGGTTGCACTCGGCGCTCTATGATTTGATGTGAAAGGTCCCGGTCCGACACCGCTAAGGGACCCTGCCCCGCGGCGGGCGAGAGTGTGCGCGCAGCGGGCGCGGCGCGCGCGGCGCGCGCGGCGGGCGCGGCGCAAGCAGCGGGCGCAGTGGGCCTGCTCTTGCCTGTGTGATGATCCTCACGACGCGCGTGGGGTGCGTCTGGCCCAGCCGGTGGATGCGCGCCGCCGCCTGCGGGGGCAGGGGGTCGGGGCCGACACAGGGCGGGCGGTTTGGGATGGGGCCCCTGAACCCCTAAAACCCTGATCTCACTCGCTCGTGATTTCGCCTTTCGATGAAATCCCGCCTTTGTCACAGCGCCGCTTGATAGTTCGAAGCCGAAGCAACGACTTAGGTTGTTTGCAAGCCGCCCCACCTGCGCCTCGAGCCCGGGGTTCAGGGGCGGCTCCAATATGAAGGCCGTCGTGGCGCACGTGAGGGTGAGCCCCGCGGCCCCGCTGGCGTTGCTCATGAGCAGCAGCAGGACGGGGCAGGCCGGGTCGTGCTGGAAGCGCAGCAGCTCGGCCTGACGCGTGGCGTGGTTGGTGCCTGGGAGGCGGGGGCGGGGCGGGTGTGTGTGTGTGTTTGCGCGTGTGTGAGTGTGTGAGCGAGATTGAGTTTGTGTTTGGGGGGGGGGCACACGCGTCGATCCATGGGCTTGAGGCGTGAAGGGGAGCAATGAATGCAGTAGAGCGGGGTTGGGCAGGAAGGGAGATGGGACGCGCGGAGGCGAGCCACAGGGGCGGCGCGAGCGAAGGCAGAGCAGCGCGGCGTGTGTGGGCCGCGCCGGCGGTGATACCAGCGGTCGCCGCCGCCGCTGCCGGCGGCCCCATGACCCATGGAAAGCACCGCTGCGGTGCGCTTGCACGAAACACAGATTGCGAAAACTCCAACGTCCGACTTGTTGCCGTCGCACAAATTAACCAAAGCGTGCAGGTCCGAAGTCCACGGCGGTTGCGCACCCATCATGGCGGCAAAGGGTATGCCGTTGTCCCGCAGGGCCCCAGCCACCAGCCGCAGCAGGCGGCCCCACTGGCTGAACACGACAGCCTTGGGGGCCGGGCCGCCGGGGGGCGCTGAGGCGCGCAGCTCGGCCAGGCGGCCCAAGAGGGCGGAGACTGGGGGCGGGTTTGTGTGCGAAAGGGCGGGGTCGTGAGAGAGGAGATATAGGTGTGTGTGTGTGTGTGTGTGTGTGTGTAAGAGAGTGTGTGTAAGAGGGTTTCTGTTTGAGAGGGGTGTGAGTGTGTTTGCAGAGAAAGAGAGAGAGGGAGGGGGCAGAGGAAATGCGCGTGTATGGGTGTGTCTGCATGAATGCAAGGGGCGGGGACGGAGGGGCGCGCCAGCGGCGCCTGTGCCGCGCCCCGTGCGGCGGCGGCGGCGGCGGTGGCGGCGCGAGCGCGGCACACCTTTCGCGCCGCAAGACCTTGCACAAAACACCCCAAACCCAG